TTCCTAACTCTTGGTGGTCATTAAAGATCCCCGGGCATTTCTCGTTAAGAGTGTAGCGGCAATGCTTTTAATAAGACAGAATTAAGTGTTGCTGTGCTTTTCTAAATGAGGCCCCTTCTCCCTTTCTCATCTCTGTGGTGCAGCCACAGAGAAGCTTTCATGCAGTTCTGATTTAGGGTGTTTTCTCACAGATAAGGAGCAGCTCCCAAATAGGGATGCGCCCAGCGATGTTTGACCCCAAGTGTCTAGGGGTAAAGGGGTGTAACATTTAGGAGAGTTTCTGGATGCAGGTGCATTCTGGTGAGAGACTTAGGAAGCGTGATAAGTGTTGGTGCAAAAGTGATTATTTTAAGGTGAATAAGTGACTGGTACGTAATATGACACAATAACACACAGGGTAAGGGAACTAGAGTGGTGCCAAAGAAAAGAAAATAACAAACAAAATGGAGCTGGCTAAGAAAGTGAGGGAAAGCTGACCTAGCTACAAATGAAAACCCGAAACACACGGTCTTCAGCATCTTCAAACACCCTAGCTAACCTTCACTGACTACCCAAAACCACACAAGACAAATGGCACTCACCCATACTAAACCAGTGTGACTAATACAAAAATCAACTACAGTACGTGTGTGTGGAATGAACCCAACAACCTAAACTAACTATACACAAAAGTTCACACAATTACACAAGTGAGCTTCGAATACAAACGAGAGTAGACAAGTAACAGGGTACAAAACGTACAATACGTTTGGACAAGGTAACGGCTAAATAAAGGATAACACAAGCAAACAAAAGTACAAAGAGATGAACACAAATCAACAAATCAACAAAGCCGAAGCTATACGAAAACTCACATGAACAAAGCAAACCAAAAATCAAAAACGAAGCGAAACCTAAGCTGAGCCGAGCGGGAACAAAGTCAAACGAATAGCCCCTTCCTTACTAAACAAGCTACACTCTGATTGGCTGAGAAGCTGATTGATGATGACATCACACGGAAACAGTGATGTAATGATGGACCAGTGGGGGAGGGAGAACTATCAAGGTCAGGAAGTGTGGAACATAGCAACAAAACACACATGGACCACACACTGGGAAGTAACAATGATCAATGGTCATTCCTGGTGCCTATCTGTCGGTGAGATTCTTGAGAACATCTGGATTGTGATCCTAGATGTCAGAGGTCATTGTTACTCATCTCTCACCTTGATCAACCAATCAGGAACCTGTAGGGTGTGGTAACCCCATGTGGGTCTGAAATGCCCGCTAAGCTTTCGACCAATCACCACCTATCTTGGTCCTGGTTTAAAAGACACTGCGTAACTCAGAAACTTTGCTTCTTCGGCCACTTTTCACACCCTCAGAGACAATCACATGATGGCCAGTGTTGTCTGTATAGGGACTGGAACCTTGTTTCAGCAAAGTGTGGGCCTGGGATGCCCTACTTAAATTGCTAGCCAATGCCAACGTGGACGTTTCGCTTGATCACTGGAGTATACGTTTGGACTCTTATTGACAACCTGAATAAGTTTTTATTCATCAACAGCGCTACACCAGAAGCAAACCGAGTTTCTTCCCCCTAAAGAGTGACTTGCTTGGACCCGCAGTCACCCTCTGTGGATAAAGACTTTCTACTAGTCAGCCGGATTACTAGTAGGTCCCTGAGAGAGACACTGTCGGCATGTCGCCACAGCAGAAATCTCTCCTCCTAATTCGTCCAACTCTGAGCTACTGTACACGGCGACTGGTTGGAAAGGAGCCAGAGGATGCTGGGACAATGCCTAATGAACGCCACAGCGATTGGATGCAGCTGCTAGCTGGTCTTGGTGCCCGTGCTGGGAAATACGAATCGATATGTGGATAAGTAAACTTAATGACCAACATTGCATCTTGTGAATTCAATTCTTATCTCAACACAAGTTGATATCAATTCAATTCATATAAGTAATATATTTACTTTTGAGTAGCTAATGTAGACTGACTAACGATAGTATAGCCGAACAGTATACTGAAGTATATTCTTTGTATCTCTGCGTTTTGCATCTCTTCGCGATTATATACCTTGCACTTTGATAACCCTCACAGTAAGATCTGACACCTTTATCCAGGCAGAGTGTTATACAGTGCCTTGCGAAAGTATTCGGCCCCCTTGAACTTTTCAACCTTTTGCCACATTTCAGGCTTCAAACATAAAGATATAA